TTTTTGAAGAAGTTTGAATGCGAATTTCATGAGAAGACAGTTGTTCTGGAGAGCCAAATTTCTTTCCCTCCGGCGACGGCGCTGCGGGGAGCGACGGTGTAGACGGAGCTTGGGCGGCGGCGCTGGTTCCCCCCGTGTCGCCAGACGCGGGCGACGCGGGGGTGCGGGGGCGAGAGAGCTCGACCTCGTCCGTAACTTAACTCTTCATTGCTATGGAAAATTTTTATTTTCTTTCCCTCACAAAGTTTTATTTTCTTGCCATGGCAAATTTACTTTAACATACATGAAAAAATTTAGTTTTATTGCCATGCTAGTTTTAGTTTTATAGCATGGCAAAGAACAACAAGTCTTGCCATGGCAAAACTAGTTTTTAACTACACTATGGTAAACTTATTACATATACCACAACAAATTTAGTTAACGGTCACGGTAAATTTAGTTTATTGAACACAGCAAATTTAGTAAATGACCATGGTAAATTTAGTTTTTTCATCATGGCATTTTTAGGTTTAACCATGGCAAATTCAGTAATTGATAATGGCAAAAAATCTAACTAATGATAAAAAAAATTATGCCATGTTAATTATCACGTGTTTGCCATGGCAAACTGCTTGCATTATAGCATTTTTTGCTTTTTCATATGCAAAAACCATGTACATTTTGTGTTCAGTAAAGAAATGCTATAGCCCAATGTACATGGACCTTTACCGAGGATAGCATCATGCCATGGTAAGTAGTCTGTTTTGTCATGGCATTTTTTCATGAAATTTTGTTGCCATGGCAAAGTAGTGTGATCATGGCAAATTCTTGTTTGTTTCTTGCGCAAAGCCATCTACTTTTGCCATGGACATTTGTGTTGTAGTTCAAAAATGTCATAGGCTTTGCAATATGTTTGCCTGGATCAAACGACGTACAGGCGGGAGGTCCGGTGTGGCCCGGCAATTTCCATTTTATATATCATGGCAATCATTTTGTTTTGTTTTTGCAAGGTTATATTGTTTTCTTCTTCTTTTTCCTCACTGTCTTATCGTTTTGGGGCTTCTTGTGGGCGTAACAGAATGCAAATGGGTTGTGCCTGACTTTTTTCTATGTACTTGGGTTTACTGCTTTGCGTGCCAGATGGGCGAGCATGAACGATCGGCATGGGACGTTTTCAGATCGGCATGGCAAATTCATGTTTTCCCCTCTGCCGTTGGAGATGCTCTCATTGACTTTTCACGCACAACGACACGAGAGATATAGAGAGTGGGGGACAGGGAGAGTACAGTAGCGCCATGGAGGATAAACATCTAACAGCAAGCAAACAAAACCTCCACCAGAAAAGATACGCTCGGGGCCAAAGCTCCAACGCATCGTCGCCCACCCACACAAAGGCAAAGCAGCAGTCAGTAGTCCTCACTCGCTTCGCTTCCTCATCCCGTCGGGCCATCCCTACTCATTAACTACTGATTAAGGCCAACTCCACCGCGCGACCCTTTTCTATCCGACACCGTCCGTTTAAGGTAAAACAGATAAACGAGGCGACCCAACGCGCGACGGCCCGGACCCATCTAGTCCGTTTTGTGTCCGAACCGACCCATTTCAAGCGCATTTTGCGCCGGGTTTGGGTCACCGCGGACATCGAACGGACGCGCCGCTCGTCCGCGTCTCCCCGTGTGGCGGGGCGGCCACCTACCTCTCTCCCGCCAACATCAATGCACACGGGTGGCCGACCCCATCTGTCATCGGCCCAGTGAAAAATCGCCGTCCTTCTTAAATGGGGAACCCGTGGACCGGTCGTCGTCCACACTGCCCCACTCCATCCCGCGGCCTTCTCGAAACCCGACCGCGCTAAACCCTAGCCCTCCCTTGTCGAGCTCGCCGGACGGCCACCTCGAAGCCATGGGCTTTTGGAACCGCAAGGGGAAGCACGACCACGAGGCCGGCTCCTCGTCGGGGCGCCGCGCCGGCTCCGTGAAGAAGGAGGCCGCATCACCACCATGTCGTGCCCCCGCGCCGCCCGCTTTCTTCATCGCCCCCACGTCCGCCGGCGAGCGCGACCGGCACTACATCCACGCGTCGTGTGCCGCCGTTATTGGAAGACGAGGACGCCGCTCCCCTGGAGCGACGTCCACCTCCCCAACGGATGGCACCTCAGCGCCGACCGTGTGCCGATCCCGCCGGTCCCGCGAGCGGCCGTGCACGCCGTCAAAAGATCGGGCGCCGCCGCCGCCTCCTCCCGGACGACCTGTACTACAACGACAGGACGCCCCGGACTCCTACCTCTGGGATACCTGACTCAGGGACGAGCACGACGTGTGACGTGCCTCCTTCTTCGCCGGCACGGCGTCTGGGCCACGACGACCACGTCGGGAGCGCGCAGCGCGGGCGGAGGCTGGTGCGCGGCCTCACGCCCACGCCCTCGCCGTCGCCTTCGCCATCTCCACCACCACCTCCTCGCATGACAGCGGAGGAGGAGGCCCGTTTCATGACGCGTGTCATGGAGGACTCCATGTACATGCACGATGAGCGGCAATGGGAGGGCCTGGAGGAGATGATGGCCCGCTCCGCCGCCGGCGAGGTAGCCATCCCCGAGGAGGAGGCGATGAAGGAGGAGCTGGTGGTCGCGTGCCACCCGGGTCTGCTGGGCCAGGGGTGGGGCTGGTCCTGCACGGCACCGGAGATGGTCGCCGCCGTGGGCATGAACTGGTGCGCCACTCCGCCGCGGTCATTGGAGCGGGAGGCGTCGCCACGAGAGGAGGTCGTGCAGGCACCTCCTGTCGTCCAGCCCGCACCCGTCTACTACGCACCGCCGGCCCACCTCTGGACGCTGCCGGCCTACGTGGACCTCGTCAGCGACGACGACGACGCCGGCGGCCACTGAAGACGGCGACGGCGACGGCATCGACAGGCACGGGCAGGAGCGCGTTGGCAGCGGCCGTTTTTTATTTCCTTTTTTTATATTGAATTATGTCAAGTTGGATGTGAAACTGGGCCGTTTTGTGGCCGTGGCGACCCTAACTAAGTTTTATGTTTATTAAAACTGCGCTTATTTAATTTTTTTTGTCATTTTATTTACATTTTTCTATTTTTTTAAATCATGTCCAACGCGAACGTGATTTGGGATACGGCCGTTCGATGGGTGCACGCACGACCCACGGACAAGACCAGACACGGGTAAACCCATCGACGCCCTAAAAAAACAAAATCTGATCAAACTGGACATTCGTTTGAAGTCGCGTGATGGAGATGACCTAAATGCAAGCGGAAAAGAAGCGGGCAGGCGGGCGGGCGCCCCCGCGAGAAAGCGACCCGATCGGCGTCGGGCAGGGCGCCCGCCCAGCGACAATCCATGGCGCTGGGCTGGGCTTGACAGCCTGCCTGCCCGCCCCGGGATCGATGGTCCAAAAGGGGGAAGAGGGTGAGGATTACCCGCTCGCTACTAGGCCCCGGTGTATCCCCTTTTCCCCCACAGCTGTTTGTAGCCGCTGCATTCACTCGATCTACCACTGACAGGCTCACATTCAATCGTGATTAACCTTTGCACTGTTGAGTGTCGTACTGCTAGTACCAGTACCCTCTCCGTGGTTCGCCGTGCAAGGGTAGCTAGCTCTCGCCTCTCACTCTCACACAATGTGAGCAGAGCAGACTGGAGTAGGAGTGCTACTGTATGTATGCACACACGGTGAAAGTGCTCAGAAAGAGACGCAGGTGTTGTGATGCGAGCACACAGGAGCAAAGGTGGCTGCCTGTCTGTCTGTCCCGCTTCCGTTTCAGGCCGCTACACATACACGACGGCGTCAGAGCGGGAAAGCTACAAAACCTACCTCACCACGCGTAGAGTACGCCGGGGCCCCTGTGTCGGCCGTCGGATCCAGTCCAGCCCGCCCCCTAAATTTCCGGCGCCTGCGGTCGACACTGCGTCGCGCAATTGATGGCAGCGCTCCAAACCCCGACGAGCCATTTCCAGGACACCGGCGCCGCAGCCGCCTGCTCCTCCTCCCGTCCGGCTCGACATTCCTAGGATACCTTGCCGGTCGTCGCGTCGTCTGGACCCCGAATGCGTCCCATCATCTGGCTCACGCTACGCCCCACGAATACGATGGCTTCGCCACCCCAATGCTACAATACGTCGAATGTCTGTCGACCAGCCTGTCCCTGGACGTGCCGTTTGCACTCTTCCTCCTCATGCCGCAACCTGCAGGCCCAGGCCCTGGGCAGTATGTATGTGGTGTGCTAACAGCAGTATCAGTATGGACCGGTCGAGTCACAACCGAGGGAACGGGAAGCTCGTGCGGGCATTCAACGGTACTCCCTCCGGTCCTTTTTACTATCCATATTATAATTCTCTGAAATCAAATTTCACAAAGTTTAACCGTATTTATATGAAAAAATATCAACATCTGTCATGCTAAAGTTATATAATATGAAACTTTAAGTCATGACACATCTAGTGATATTGATTTTAGATTGTGAATGTTAAGACTTTTTTCTATAAAGTTGATCAAACTTTACGAGACTTGACTTCAGTTAAATCTTATATGCAAACTAAAAATGATCGAAGGGAGTACTACACAATAATAATCGAATCACCGGAGAGGTTGTGACGTGGGTAGTACTAGGGTTTTGATTTGCGAATTAATGGCGGGGCGAGAGAATGGTTGGGCCATTGGGCGGGATATATTTGGTTATCCACAGCAATCAAGGCCTCAATCAGGATACGGATCCTGTCTAAGTAATTGGGGTGGGCGTGATAATTAATTAAGATCCGCCACCACGGCGCGGCGCGGCGCAGGCTGCTCGCTCAAAACGAAACTGCGAGGCGCAACTCCCGATAAAAACGCCGTATGGAAAGCTAGCTTCCTTTGCAATCCATCGGCGGCCTAGGAGTAGTCGCTGCACTAGAGACGAGGCGAGAGAGGAAGCAGCAGTGAGCTGCGCCCAGCCAGCACGATATAGAGGAGAGCCGAGGGGAGTCGAGGAAGGGACAGAGGGGAGAAGCAGGGGAGAGAAGAGAACCAATGGCGTCTCGCCTCCTCTTGGCCGTCCTCCTGGCGTCGTCCGCTTGGGTTGCGGCGTCCGCCGGCGCCGGGGACGAGGTCATGGTCCCCCGCCCGGCGGCGGCGCTCACCTTCGGGGAGGGCTACACCCAGCTGTTCGGGGACTCCAACCTCAGGCTCCACGGCGACGGCAAGCGAGTCCACATCTCCCTCGACGAGAGGACCGGTAGGTGCCCGATGCTTCATCGATCGATCGATCCACCTGTTCTTGTCGCCGCCTTCCGTAGTTCCGATCCTCATCGGGCCTGCCTCTGTTTGTTTGGTGTATTCTTCAGGCTCCGGGTTCGCGTCGCAGGGCGCGTACCTCCACGGCCTCTTCAGCGCCAGCATCAAGCTGCCCTCCGACTACGCCGCCGGCGTCGTCGTCGCCTTCTACGTGAGTAAACATTAGCATCATCCCTTCACTACACTGCACTGCACTTCTTGGAAAACAACCGATGTAATGCAGAGAGAGAGCGGCGAGGGAATTACTAACAAACTTTGGCATTGCGTGGATTCCGGCAGATGTCCAACGGCGACGTGTACGAGAAGACGCACGACGAGCTGGACTTCGAGTTCCTGGGTAACGTCAAGGGGAAGGAGTGGAGGGTGCAGACCAACGTGTACGGCGACGGCAGCACGGCGGTCGGCCGGGAGGAGCGGTACGGCCTCTGGTTCGACCCCACGCAGGACTTCCACCGCTACGCCATCCTCTGGACCAATCGCACCATCGTGTAAGCCCCTGCCCCCGCTCTCACCTCCACCAATCTCACTTACTCTTACTCGTGATCGATCGATCGACACTGCATTCGCTGCAAGGTTTGATCGGCCTGAACCTTGAGCAGTTAACGAGTTTCAGAACTTCAGACTGGGAGCCCCCTCAAGTGGGGCTTCTGGCATAATGTAGAATAGTTTTAGCTGCAACAGCCGTAGCCAATTACTACCTGACTTCGATTGGCTCTGCTTGCTCCAGGGCTATCATTATACAGCCAGGATCAATGTTGCTTAAGCGGCATTTCTGAATGTTTCTGAACTATTATAGCCCGTAGGCTGAATTCTGTGGACACGACTCGTGGATGCCTGAACCACAACTGTGGTCGTGTACTTTGTACATACAAGTTCCAAGTACACGTGTACGCAGCAAATTAGTGATCCTTTAAGCACATATCAATATTTTCAATGCTTACAGGACACAGTACTACCATCTTTGCGTCCTTTCATAAAAAAATAGTGTCAGTACCTGACTGCTCTTCGCCATGGTAGTTCAGCTTAGCAATGTTGCATGTGCTATACAACAATGTAGCAAGATAGATAATCTCTGCTGCTGGTATTAGCTAGCTTCAGGCACTCTTTTTTTGTTGCTGCCTCTTCCCCTTTCCTTTTCCCCCTTTCTTTTTCCACCCTCATGACATGATTGAGAGAAATTGGCTCTTGTTCTTTACAGCTTACAGATTCCTCATGCCGTCGCCGCTTTAATAATTTCAAGTACCGAGGGCCCGAAATCGAGTAGATAGCCTTGCCACAACGGGCATGCAGATAGCGCTGCCCCGCTACTACGCTTCAACACTGCTGGCTTCAAACAAGAAACATCGATCTCAATATCAAAGCCATTTATTTCTTCCTCCACCTGATCTAATTCAGATCACGGATCCATTTGCATGGTCCGTAAAATTACTCACACAGTCACACACACTTACTCACAGTCATTCACTCCTACTCACACAGTCATGCTGCCTGATCGTGTGGGTGAATAAAGTTGGCATGAGAAATGGGGGCGTCGGCTTTTACAGTTTCCATCCATCCACTGAAGCTGAGCCTGAGCATTCATTCATCACAGCATGTGCATGGCTAGGGCCATGGCTGCGCCTGATCCTTCCACCAGGATCCCCGTGCCGCTGCCTTTTCCTCATTGCACCTGCTTTCTCCCCTACCCTGCAAGTCCTGTGTGATCACTCGCAGCTCGCCAACTTTTGAATTGATGGGGAAGAAAGCTACCACCACCACCTCCTCCACTTTTCACCGTGCGTTTTCACATGAGCCAACTCGGTCTGTTCAGGTTCACCGTTCACATGCCCAACCCAAGTCTGGTTTTCACCGCAAATATGTTCACGTGAATGTGCTGTGTTGGATGCTTGGATTGATGCGTTGGTTTGACGGTGTGTCTGACGTTTTTGTGTGTGTGTGTGTGTGTGTGCAGGTTCTACGTGGACGGGACGCCGATCAGGGAGGTGGTGAGGAGCGAGGCGATGGGGGCGCAGTTCCCGTCCAAGCCCATGTCGCTCTACGCCACCATCTGGGACGGCTCCAGCTGGGCCACCTCGGGCGGCCGCTACAAGGTGGACTACAAGTACGCGCCCTACGTCGCCGAGTTCACCGACCTCGAGCTCCACGGCTGCGCCCATGATCAAGCCCAGTCGGCGTGCGAGCCGGAGGGCGGCAGCGCGATGCCGACCAGGCAGCGGGCGGCGATGGAGAGGGTCCGGGCGCGGCACATGACGTACGGCTACTGCTACGACCGCGCGCGGTACCCGGCGCCGCTGCCGGAGTGCAGGGTGGGCACCGAGGCGGCCATGTACCTCCCGTCGGGCGAGGCCAGGTCGTCGGACCGGCGCAGGCACGGCAAGCGCCACCGCCGTGCCGGCGCCGCCCTCTGATCTTACGACCGTTGCCGACTGTAGGCAGTGCGCTCGTGTAATCGGGTCATGCCGTGTCATGCATGTGTAACGTGATTGTAGCTTCATCGTTGCGTAACTGAGCTAGTAAGTAGCAGTTGTGTTGATCTGTTCAGCATTTCGTATCCATCCTTTGCGGTGCCGGCGCCACACAACGCCACGCCCATACCTAGGACGAGAATTTGGAGGCGATGTTATCTAGGCGAATTGAACGCTTCGTCAACCGGTTGCCACGGAAGGCCACCGAATATGACCAAACGAAGGCGACCCTAGCTAACATCAGACGGACAAACAAGACGGCACGAGTAGACAAATTAAGACTCACAGACTAGTCAGCGGGGCAACATTTTCAGCTTGTCACAGGATTGCAACTCGAGAAGAATCGACGAAATATGCACATGAGACGAACAAGTAACACCAGCACAATAAGAACAGAACAGGCACCAGATAACATGTTGAACATCTTAGCCCATACTCCCATAATTGTAGCAAGCAGGCGATAAGTTAAAGCAGCATGATACAGTTTTGCTACAGATCGATCGGCTACAAAATTTAAGACGGCTTTTCATTCATTCTCAAGACAACTCGACGGCATCAAGGTACTTGCGCTTGTCAAGGATATGAGAGTTGCCCGCAACCATGACCTGGAAAATTGAGGTTTCCTCATCTCACGTTTCTGTTCTCTATGTACTATACCTCCTTCCTTCTATTTAGCGGCACTTGGCTCAACCTTGCTGAGCCCAGCATTCTTCGTACCACCGTTCTGCTGCTCCTCACCCGCAGAACTAGAGCTCCCATTGCACTCTGGTTTTGCCTCGGTTGTATCGGCCCTTCTTGTTGTTCCTGAGCTCCTTGGAGAAGCACTGCCATTAGCCACCTCCATGCCAGTACCCTTGTTATGCACATAAGCTGCTGAACCTCTTGGAGAATTAGGTTCCGCATGAGCATGGGAAGCTTGTATCATCTGATGGGGCAGCTGGTGAGCTGATCCAGGAGGAAGGAAGACGCCTGTGCCTGGAACAGGGAATCGAGGTGGGGCAGGCCTTGGGGCAGCTTCTGGCATCCAAGCTGCCGTTGCATTTGGCAAGGGAACAGCTGCTGGGAAAGGTATGGCTGCGGCAGCAACAGGAGCAGGTGCTACAAAGAGTGGCTGCATCCCATCAGACGGAGGGATGTGATGAGGTCCAGTTGTTGGTGCTGGAAGTACGCTGCTGGTCGGGGTGCATCCAAAGTGCTGCGGACTTGGAGAATGTGGCCTCACATTAGCTGGCCTTGATGGTGGACCCCAGGGCATAGAAGGAGGTGTTAACGGGGCGGAAGGCCGTGAAGCACTTTCCGATGCTGCAACTTTTCTTGCCACAGACTTCCCGAAAGTTAGAAGGATTCGCTGCTTACGTGTAGCAGGAATAGCTCGCTTGGCTACATCAGCACTTCTCCCTTGCAACACTACAAGAGACCTGAAATTGAGAGATAGGAGAAAAATGTTTAGAAAGTGTAGTCAAACAGGGTTTACCTATTAAATTTACTACATGGTCAACATTACGAATTATATATGGAGCCCAGTGAAGCTACGAACGCACAACTGATGATAACAGGCATTGACCAATCAATAATTACCATATCATCTTATTACAAAGGACTATTTTAATTTAATTATGACCGATATTATGTTAATTTGTCCTGGTTGAGAAATTCAAAACGTGAAGACTGTTTGCACAGCTAAACATGTGTTTATGTACCAACTAAAATACATGACATGATCACAGGCTTCTCACGTTACGGCATATGATGTCTGCTACCGAAGATGTAAATTAGAAAAAATTGGAGAGTGAAGAAGGGTCAGTACAAGCCTCTTAAGAATACCATCAATGGGCAACCTGGTGCATGTAGCTCCCGCTTGCGCAGGGTCCAGGGAAGGGTCCGACCACTTTGGGTCTATAGTACGCAGCCTTTCCCTACATTTCTGTAAGAGGCTGTTTCCAGGACTTGAACCCATGACCTCATGGTCACAAGGCAGCAGCTTTACCACTGCGCCAAGGCTCCCCTTCAATGTGACATGAAAATTACTGGGGAAAGGCTTACCCTGTAGAGAGAGAGAACTTCAAAGGGCCTCTGTTATCACCTCGTTCTCCAAAAATAACTCGGCCAAACACCATATCACACTCTGTCAGGCAGAGGGTACAAAGTGGCCTACCATACCAAGAGGGAGGTTGCTGAGGATGGGAATATTCCTCCTGAAAAAATAAATCAATTGGTCATTATTAGAATGCATTTTCAGAGAAGAACGTCTTACAGCGTGAACAAGTTACCTCATAGTAGAAGTCAACAACACAATAATCTGGCTTAGAAGGTACAATTCCCTGCCGAAAGAAGCGATCAAACAGGTCATGCAGCAACCCAGGAACAGGCTCCACCCTTGTTGTCTCTGAACCCACATTTAAAATAAAAGAAGGAAGGCATCAGAATACGAGAATAATAACATGAGATTCTGTGGTAAAAGCTTGGCATACCTCTTTGATTTTCATCTTCAAGAGGGCCTTCAATGATAGGAACTCCCAGCTGAATAATTACGCTTCCATGACCCTTCAGTGGTCTTTTACCAACAATAACAGTCTGGCCCACTTTTTGCACCAAGCAAAAATTAATGGTGAAGTCCAATAAAATAGTTGAATCACAGTACCCCCAAAATTAGATAAAGACAGATTAGGACATTATCTGTTTGTACAGAAATGAAGAACAAAAACTAGAGGCAAATGGCCAACTAGCCCAGGGTAACAGACTCTGCTAAGTTGTGACATTTCCCTAGATGTTCAACTAGGCAATACTCTGACAGTATGCAATTTAGATATAAATTCAGAATTCAATGTGGCAAAAGTGCACACAGTTACACTAACACACTACACACACACGATCACACGGGTGATGCACATAGGCACAGAAACAAATAACTTTAGAGGCTACATAATTACCTTCGAACCCTCCTCGACGAGAAGAAGCTTTTGTTTCATTAACTAAAGAAACAATCTTGTTTATCTCAGTCACATTTACCAACCCTTCATAAACCTTGAGCCCTTCAACAGTATTAACCTAAAGAAGCATAGAGCACATTTCATCATGGCGTGTTTTGTAACAGGATAATGAAGTTCGACTGAAGTTTGAGATTCCAAGGAAACTGCATGAAAGAGAAAACTGAAGTGCAGATTTTGAAATTCTGAATTGCAGGGCAACATACCGGCTTGCCATCAATGATTTCACTGGTTGTATATTCTACAGGAGTTGGAACCACCTTGCTGCTTCCTTCAGCAATAATTTGCAGGCTAGAATTTTTCTCACCTGCCACACAATTTACAAAACAAGGACATGGCTCAGAGAGGGTAATTTGCAATCCTTACTAAAAACATTAAATTGCATCCCTTCAGTTTGACAAAATAAAGATTTAATAGCATATGCAAGTAAAATAGTATGTATCAGAAAGTTCAGTTGTCCATCCTAAGGACACTCAATTACAAATAAACAACAAGGAGGATCCAAAAGTTCGGGATTGTCTATAGTTCTATAAATTGACAACTAAACAAAAAATAGCAGAATATTAATTGACAACTAAAAAACTGAAAATGTAGCTCAGCAGTTTTACACTTGAAGTGAAGAAACAAGGTTTAATATGGAGCACAATGGCAGCACACTATTTACAAAACCCTAACACAAACTTCTTTGGTTCAAATACTATCTGATGTGTCAAATAGCAATAAAGAAATGAAGTTGCACAATGTTTGTGTGAGGGGGGCGGGGGGGTACCATCAGTAACAGGAGAATCCAACCGTGGACCTTTAGCATCAGCGATGTTCTCCCCTTCCTTCAGTCCCTTCCCTTCTTTGTTATGAAATTCACGCCCTAGAAGCATCAAGAGTACATGAGAAACTAATTGGACATGATTTTCAATAATAGCTGTAAACTTGAAGTACAGTTTTTAATCATGCCATAATCACAATATCAGCAAGAACAGAAAATACAAACTTATTGCACCTACAGAAATCATTGGGCGGAAGACATATAAGGATAGTATGATTACCAAAGCCCGTAGATATTATGTACGATAAGTAGCCATTTTGTTATGATATAATTGAAAATTGAGTTCTAGTATATATATTATACAAACGAAACAGGTGTAATATCTGTCATATACTCCTTCCGTCCCAAAATAAGTGTCTCAACTTTGTAGTAACTTTAGTACAAAGTTGTATCAAAGTCAAGACACTTATTTTGGGACGGAGGGAGTATATCTCTATGCCCTCAGATTCTGGCCCCAAAAAAGTTACTGGTGCTTAACTTAGATTCTTCTCTTTTCATCTCACTTAATAATAAAAAGAAATATGGCATTTTTCTTTTATAATTAATATAATTAATGTAGCGTTTCTAGCCCGCAAAGCTAATAATATCATACTGCTTTATTTATCATGGCATTGGTAAAGCACAGGTCATCAACTTTTATTATATAAATATATCTCAAAACTAATGATAGACTATGGCGTGACGAGTTAGCACGACACTGATAAAGCCTCCCATGTCAGCCAGAAGCCCAACATGGAGCGAGAGCGCACTGCTACGTGGCATAATCGGACGACTTAGGCAGGAATCATGCTCTAGGACGTCGCACCGACGCTTGGGCAGGAATCATTGGTAAAGCACAGGTAACCAACTTTTTATCGTATAATAAATAGCCAAAACTAATGACAGACTACGGCATGATGAGTTAGCACGACACCGGCAACGCCTCCAACGGTGATGCATAGCATAATCGGACGGTTTGGGTGGAATCATGCCCTAGGACGTTGCGCCGAAAGTTTGCGCCATACCTTTTGCCGTATGAAATAACCATCCCATTGATCCATTCAGCTACTGAACAAACAAAACCGTTGTATGGTCAGAAGGAAAATGTTTCCGTGTGAAACAACTCAAAGTGATCTTACATGTGCCTACCCTAC